GCTTCGCCGCGTTTCTACAAACGCTCGACCCGGCACTCGCAGCCGCCGCCTTGCCGCCGCTGCCCACGCCGGGATGGCGCGTGGCCACGCCCCCAATCCCAGACGTGCGACAGGAAGCACCGGGAAGCCCGGTCCGCCCACCCCAGCCCGAGCCCCGGCCGTGGGGGGACACCCCGGGGCCCCGTGTCGCGACCCTGCCACCCCCCGCCCCTCGGCAACCCCCCCGCGGTATGGGCCCAACCCCAGAGAGCTCTGGCGGGGCGGCAGACGCAGCCACCATGTTGGCTTGGCCGGCGGAACACGTGACGCGCCCCCGGTCCGGCCGGTCCCCGTCGCCTCTGTCGCGCCGCCGATGGAGCCTGCTGATCCCCACGCCGCCCGTGCTGCGATGTGTGATCAACCAGAACCCCCGAGCTCAGCGGGGGCGCCGGCAGGACCCCCGGAGCCGCCAGAAGGAGTTCCACCGCCGCTGCCGCGGCCGGGGTATTTCGAGTCACTTCTGGGTTTGCCTCTAAAGCCCTTTGTGCCGGGTGCCCACCCGGAACTCCTGCCAGCCGCGCAACAAGTAGTTTCCGTCACACCACCGCCGCCCCTGCAGCCCCTGGACGCCTCTGCCTCCTCTCCTACGCTGTATCCACATTCCACAGCTGCAGCCTCATCCTCGGTGTGTCCTTCCACACCTGCCGGTTCCTCCCTGGTGGCTTCTCTTACGTACGCTGCTTCTCCTGCCCCTCTGCCCCAGCTGTTGGCAGCTGCTGCATCTGACTTACAGCTTAGCATGCAGCCAGGGAAAGAGGAACAGCACCTGCCAGCTGTTTTGACGAGTACAGGATCCACGGAGAACTGTGCTACCCCTACCAAGACCACCCCTGCTGCCTCAGTTTCCCAGAATGCTCAGGGGATCATTGATGGCCTCCAACTGATGGACAAGCATATATCCAAGCCTCATGGTCCCAGAGAGTGGACAGCTGTCCCATCTCTGGACGAGAGAGAATTCCTAGTAGCGGCAGGAGATAGTAGCTTCCCTTTCTCCTATGGTTACCAGCTGTTGGGGGGTACCATAGAAAAGACATCTAAAGCCCTAGAAAGCAGCTTATTAAAACAGAAGAGGGGAATATATCAGGCCATACCCCAAAATAGGTTCAGCAAAGCCCCATACGCATACAATTTTTCAAATTGCTGTATAGGACAGCCTGACATCCCCATTTACAGACACTTTCTGAACAACAAAAAAGTAAAAATAAAAGTCTTGATCAAAACCTCAGTCACAAGACAAATAGAAAGCCCATGTAACCTTGTAACATGGGAGAGAGAGCTTGCTTGTGTTTTCACAGGTGAAAGATCTACGTGGGTCCCAGCAGGGAATGTGGGGCCTTACCATACACTGAAATCTAGCAGTGCCCTCACAAATGGCAGTGACTTTGCAGGTGCAAACCAAGAAGCAAGCGCTCAGATTTGAACCGTGCTAAGACGAGATGAAAACTACCTGCCAGAAACAATTCAAGACTATGAACATCTGTTTTCACATGCATGTTACTTTTGTACCCTTGTTGTTACATTTGTTCTCTTATTTCAAATTTTTGTATTGAAGTTTCACCTATAGGTTAACCAAAGACAAATGCCTGGGTTACTCTGGCCAAGACTGCAAGCTCTGATACCATATCTAACTGATACAAAGCTCTAATAGACTTTTTCAACCTAGTCAATTATAGAACCTTCCCCAAAAGGTTTTAATAACACTACCTCAGTTAAATTCTTCCATTAGACTAAAGTATTCAAAAGGTTAAAATGCTCAATCAGTAAAGAAATAAACACCACCTCGATTACAATTAGCAATCTAGCTAAACAGTTTATCTGATGGTTTGAGCTCTGCATCTTGGCTAAAGGAACTGTAAAGTAAGCTTGATTATTTTTAGAGTAATAAGTGTAGTTTCATTAGCAATATGTTATGTACCCCAGGTTGTGCAAAAATAGTAATTAAGTCTGTATTTACCTTTTCAAAAGTTTAACGAAAAGGGGCAATTGTTGCAGAGGATAGATAGATACGATTGTTATTTTAGCTAGCCGGATGTCACTTCTACCCTTGGATGAATCCTGGAGTGAAATGGACTGTTCCATCCCACCCCGCAAAAGATTGTGGTTCATCCCGCACCTCTGTACCTGCCCCTAAAACATCAGAGTCTGTAACCCCATTGGCCCATGCCTTGTCCCAGCCCACCTGGGAGCCCCTGAAAAGGGGGCTCCGAGGGGCCATGCGGCCTCTTGGACTTCCTCCCCCTCTGGGGCTTCCCCTCTCCTAAACCCTCCGTTTCTCTCTCCCCTCCCCCGTCCTCCTAAGCCCAGCCACGTGCTACGCCTGAGAGCACGAGGCTTGGGCATTCCTGAATCTTTGAATAAACCTCTCTCCCCAAGAGCAAGCTTCAGAGATCTCTGCCTCACTACACCCCAACCGTGCAGAGGAGCATAATCATTCCCACACCCCACAGCTGCCGATGCAGCTGTGGCGGGAAGGGC